ACTATGGAGGTATGGTCTGTATTGGTATATTTTTAATTTGTATCCTGCCTTTCTCCCAAATGAAACCAAGATGGCACAGAATATGAATTACTTCAGGGAAAACAAATGAAAGATTAATCAGAAAAAGATTTTAGAGTCGTCTGCCTATGACACTGGCCAACACAAATTTTGCTGCCTCAAATGTTAGCCCTGTTTCTGGGTGTATTTGGCCTCCTGATTCCAAAAACGGCACCCTTCAGCTATTTTTTGAGGTACATAGCATATGGTAAATACCAATTGCCACCTCCTCGCCCACATAAAACCGTGATGATCATATCTAAGAAATTTAGCTGCTGCGTTGTATCCAATGCAGTTTTCTGAATCAGTACCCCAAATAACCCCATGAACAAGCCTCAAAACCAAGACACCCAAGATTTTTTTTCTGTTGGGCTGTGTAATCTAATGCATATACAGATGAGATAATACTCCTTGTTGGTGAAGCTAGTGCTGCACAATAGATTGCCATACTAAACCGGTTGTTCTTCATGTTTATGCAGATAATCATGGTATCTTGCATTGCCCAAGAGTCACCAGTTATCTGAGGTGAGCTGAAGTACATGATCACTTTACTATTGAGAACAGCTTCCTCTAAGAATTTGAAATGCTCTCTGTCTGACTCAATAGTATTGCCCTTTGATTTTGAAACAGAAGAGGCTGTGTTTGAAACAAAAGAGGCTGTGAGGATCAAATTGGCCTATAAGTCATGCTACTCAATCCTAGCGGTGTTTGAGCTCAATATGATTGCTTATTAGTGAACAATATGTACTCTGTTGGCATGCTTTCATATTTCCATCCATTTCTCACTTTTGCTTGTAGTGAAGTGGATTCAGAACTGGTTCTGAGAGTAATCCCTATTTCAAACATTGGGGTGTGGTATGCTATGCTGCTTCTAGGACAAACTGTAGAGAGGACTTGTTATTATCAAGCAGCAATAATTCAGGAATAAGTGTAGAAACATGTAGACAATTCAAAGAATTCTGGCAAGTGAAAGGAAAGTGAACTGACTTCACAACTTTGTTTTATCTCAAGCAAGCACCCTCCAGATGTGTTGGACTGCAATCCCTATCATCCTCAGTCAGCATGCAGATGCAAAAATTGTAGAGCAACTCATCTGAAAGATGCCAAGTTTACGAACATTTCTCTGAATTAAAGCCAGTTAGTCCTTTCCTGTATAAGGAAAATCCATGGTTTCTTATTTTCATCAAGAAGCTAATATGTAAGGAATATTGCAAAGGTGGGTGAAGGCACCAAAAGGAAGCAATGGGAAACGGAAAATAATTATTTATGGAAGCAGTTGAATATTTAGGAAAAGAGAGGAGACAAGAGTTAAATTAAATGTTCCATTAACAAGTATTTGCATTGGCCAGGTTTTGCAGAAACTTTATCCAGTTTCCTACTGTGAATTATCCTTCAGATATAGAACTGTGACTTACCCGTTTTCTCATAAGAAGGAGTGAAGGAAAGAAAAAAGCATTGTGAGCAAGCAGGTGACTCCACCCCAAAGGGATTTTTTTCCTGTGTCAGGAGTGACTTGAGAAATCACCCAAAGGGATGAGGAGAGGAGAGATTGGCTTATCAGATTTTTCAGCCTACAGCAGTTCTGTCTCTAAACCTTGGCATCTAAAGGATTCCCTAGATGGAAATGATTGTTTCCACATCTAAATTATTGTTGATGTGCGCACAACTAACTCATCGTGGACAAGTTCTGCAACATTTCTTTAGTGATTCAAGAAGGGTCTGATAGGGGATACCAGCTTTACTCAACCACATCTGCTGTTAACATCTTGCCAACGGAGAGTAACTGTAAGGACTCATAAGGTGTTAAATAGCCTCAAGGAAGAAGAGGTTGCAGTTGTTGGATCACTCTTGAAGTAGTCATTGTGATAAATGCAGGCACTGTCCTTTTAATAGAAATGTGAAATTAGACATGTTTGTGTTAAACAAGATTTTGTGAAAATGCCAAAATAGAAGACTACATGAGAGCCAGCATAATGTAGTGATTTGAATGTTGGCCTATGGAGACCAGGGTTTGAATACTTGTTCAGCCATAGAAATCAACTGGATGACTTTGGGCAAGTCACTCAGCCGAGGAGGAAGACAAAGGGAAACCCCCTCGGAACAAATCGGGCCAGGAAAAATGTAGAGATTCTCCATAAGTTGAAAAAAGCTTATGGAGAACCTATGCATTGTTGAAGGCATGCAACAACAACAAAGATTACATAGTGATTTAAATATACAGCTTTGTGGAACTCGCTTTGCAATTCAGAATGTAGTATAAAACTGTATTTGGTATTTTACTCCAATAAAAAACAAATGAACAAACCTCAGAGTGACCCTTCAGATATTACATGTATACATTCGTGATATTGCAACTACGTGTATAAGCTAAAGACATATTTTGGGTTTCAAAATTATGGATTTCCATATGACCTGGATAAGTTGAGTGTCATTCTATGGAGATGGGCCAGCACCAATGGAAAGTCAAGAGGCAACCCACCCTGCCATTTCTCTGCCCAGACTTTCAACAAAAACCGGAACAGCACCATAATGGAGAGAGTAGTGTGTTCCTTTTAGGTTTTCCTGGGACAGACTAGGCTCTTTTGCCAGTCTATTCACAGAAAGAAAGGGATGGCGCCTTATTTTTTTTTTATACAAGTTTATGTATAGTAGTCATACTGACCGATGGATAAATTCACCCAGGTTTTTAGGATTGATTTTTTTCCCCTTTAAGTATTCTCCTTGCTATTTGTCTTCCCCTTCCCTGCCTAGTTACCTAGGTTATCATAACCTCAACTGCTAAAAAGTAGGTTAGAACTCTACAGCACTCTGGGTAAGTGGACCAGTTATATAAACCAGGTTATATTATGTTCTTTGAATTGAAGTAATTCTGGGGAGGGGGCTGCCTTGTCAATGAGTGGGTGGAGAAAGAAAGTCCGCTTCTTATTTTAGGAGCTCTTAGCAGACCTGTGAGTCTTCAGCCCTGCTTAGTTGTCTGTGTCTCACAGCCATCCGAAGTTCTGAAACGATCTCAAAGGCGTGTGCGTAAGGAGTTTAAATGCATGAAGGTTGTTGGAACTCAAAGTTTTTACAGGTAAAATGCAACATGTGAAGGAGTATTGAATTGATAGTGTGGTAGTGTTTTCTGTTGTACAAGAACGTTACATGCTGTGTTGTTAAATGCTTCTTTATGCTATCATGTGGTTCTTGGTTCTGTACTGTCCTGGCTTCAGGCTTACAAATTGTTCTGGACTAAAGTCTTACAAAAAGTGTCTTTGTGAAAGTTATTGGAAATCTTATCCTATCAGTTTTCTCCTCTTCTCCCTGAAGTGTTTATGGGCAGAAAACTGGAAGACCTCTTCTGCCTGGGGGAGTAGGCGAGGTACTCAGGAGATCATAGGAAAGCTTTTGTTTATTTTGATTTATATTACCAAGCTATTTTCTTACTATTTTGGCTGAAGTTAGGAGCCAGCTGTTGCTTTTAGGCTAGTGGTTCTCAACCTGTGAGTCCCCAGGTGTTTTGGCCTACAATTCCCAGAAATCCCAGCCAGTTTACGAGCTTTTAGATTGAGAACCACTGCTTTAGGCACTGGTGAGGCTCTGTATAGCTGAATTACTGTGTCATAAAATGATATCTAAATAGTACATCACCAACATAAAATGTTTGGAATACATGCCTCTTTTCCATCCACTGGCTTACAAGGGCATTTGAACAGAGGAAGAGCAGCAGGTCTGTGGTATGTGTTGCAAGAGTCCCAGGATATTGATACTATGGCAGCATCATAACATTGATTCAAATCATAGCCTGAGAAAATCTCAAAAGAGATACACTTTGTCTTGATTGATGGCTTTAAAAATTAAAGGTTTTCCTTCTTTATAACAAAAATGGTAAGCACTCACAAAAGTTGAATGACAAGCAGAAAAGTCTTTCAGCATGCAATTGTCTGTATCATTCACATACTGGTTTTTGATCTATTGTTAGAGTTTATGCATTTTCATTGTATAGACATACAAGGTATTATCCATCTGTTGATAATTATGTTTTGTCTCGTTTCCGCTGTTGAGTTCACAACATATGATGGAGCTTTCCTTTGCCCTGCACTGTATTATTTCAATGCTTAATTAAAACAAAGTACAATCAAATGGCTAGTTCAAGTTTCTCGTGCTGGTGATGACTCTTGCCTTTTAATTTGAATGTTAAAAGAGCCACTTCAGGTGCTTAAACCTACACCCAGAATTGATTTGGCCATTTGGATAGCTTTTTTAAAAGCCAGGACAAAAATCCAGAGTGAATTCATTGGCTATTTCCCTGTCATTCGTTGAATTTTATATGGGGTCCAGTTGATATGTCTTCGAATGGTAAGTCTCAAGTTCTTCTCACCCTATATGGTTACAGGTAGTCCCCAAGTTCCAAACATAGTTAAGAATGGGGTGAGACAACAGGAAGTGAGAGAAATATATCCCTCAGAAAAGAAATCCACTCCTCAAAGAGTTATCATGGGGCAAAGGGGTCTCCACTGAAGCTTTATCACCAACCCTTGTTTCCACAGCAAGCCATTTTTTTTCAAAATCCAAACATCACAGGGGCAGAAAGTGAGGTGAAATCTTCTGAACAGGGGCACAGATAGGAAAACAAACACCACAGGGTTAACCCCTGTGCTATCCAAAGCTAGCTAGCTCTCTCTCTCTCTCTATATATATATATGGCTGAAGTTGTACATAAAAATGTAGCTTTTCCAACTTACATACAAATTAAACTTAAGAACAAACCTACAGAATCTATTTTGTTCATAACTTGGGAATTGCCAGTATTTGCCACTAAGGTTAAGCCAGGAGAAATTTCAATTTTCTACTATGCCATCAAGTTTAGGCGACATTATTTCAGGTGCAATTTTGTTTAATCAAGGTTATTCCCTTATTTCAGAATACACCATGACTCACCAATGCCTCTCTTCTTCTCACAGGCTTCTTTTTTTCACTTAGACTGAGATTTATGGACTTGTACATGATGAATTGCGAACTATTGGCAACGTGCAGTGCCCTCGGCTTCTTGGAGGGAGACATTTACCATAAAGAACCTGATTGCTTAGGTGAGATTGCCAGGGTGGGCAGGTGAGTTTGAATGCTGGGAATAAGGCCCCTAAAGGTGTTTTTTGTGACTTTTTAAGTGGGGCTGATTAAGCCACGAAGGAAGAAAAAGAGAGTGACAAGAAAGGATCCTTTAAGAACATTTTTTAGCCTCCTGTTGCTTTCCTTTGCCTGGATGGTCTTAAAGCTTTAATTATGAACCACCTGGAGTCTCATGTTGAGAGAAAGGTGGGATATAATTTATGTAAATAAGTAAATTATTCTGTCTGTCTCAAAATAGAAATGTCTGTTTCTACTAGTGGCACACTAGTGTGTGCTTTTCCTTCACAGCCAACTCATTGTTTCATCCATTTGGTTTGTATCCTTCCAGAGAGTGTGAAGGACCTGATCCGCTACTTGCGTCATGAAGATGAGACTCGAGATATCCGACAACAGCTGGGGGCAGCTCAAATCCTACAGAATGACCTGATCCCCATCATAATCCAGTACCCTCAAGATAAACAGCTCTTTGATGCTGTTATCAGGTATCCAGGGACAGGGAAGGAGGGCGACTAACTATAATCAGTATACAATTTTAATAATGTGGAATTTGAGTAACAAATCATGAGGTATCAATACACAGGATATACAGGTAGTCCCTGGGTTAGAGGTTTAATTTGTATGTAAATAGGAACATTTTAAAAGTGTAATTCCAGCCAAAAAGTTAATTTAAAGTTTTGGATAGCATAGGGAAGGGTTAATACCTCTGTAGCATTTGTTTTGCTATCTGTGCCCCTGTTCAGAAGATTTCCTTTGACTTTCCGTCACTGTCACAATTGAATTTTGAAAAAAATGGATTGTCATGGAAACAAGGATTGGCACTAAAGCTTCAGCGGAGACACCTTTTCCCAATGATAATTCCTACATTAGTGAATTTTCCTTCCAAGGGATATATGTCCTCTCACTTCCTGTTGTTTCACCCTCATTCATAACTAGAAGTTTTATGCAAGTCAGATGTCTGTTACTCAGGAACTATCTGTAAATGAAATCAGCAGAATTCTAATGCCTCTTTATCCAATTTCTTTGGATCTACCTTCTTTTGAGGATCTAAGTGAACAAGTCTTTCTTAAATGCACACCTCAACTAAGAATTATTTTGATTTTAATAAGAGTCCTAAAGAATGTATTCCTTTACTCTCCTCACACTGGCTCCCCATTGACTCAGATTAAAGGAATGGGGGTCAAGAAAACACACGTATTCTTATCCTTGAAAAAAACACTACAAGGCTTGGAGGGGGGGGCATTCTTAACAGGCAAAAGAACCATTGTGGTTTATACAATCACATTTAGTGCAAAAAAGCAGTTAGCATGGAGTGTGTTGGTTTTTGCATGAAATTTATATTTTACACAGTTTTCTCAAATCTCACCAAGCCAATTTATTTTCAAGAAGAAAAAAAATGAAATAATTAGTTTTGTGTGAAAATGAAATAAGTGAAAGAACCAACAAGACCAAAGTTGCAAAATAAGGAGAAGAAAGTGTATCTATCCTGCATACCTGGGGGACAGGTATAGTTTCCTCCCCTTATTTTTCATCTTCTTTCTGCATCAACAGAGCCAAGGGGCCAATACATTTGTTGGTTCTTTAACATTCAAACAGGAATCTTAGCATGTGGCCCTTACAGCATCAAGGATGTGATTTGATTTGAAATTATTAATGAACATTTGTCATAGCCTCTATTTATTTTTATTTTCCTTTTCCCCACTCCAAGGTTAATGGTCAATCTTACTCAACCAGCTGTCCTCTGCTTTGGTAAACTTCCCCAGGATGCCAGCTTCCGACATCACTTTCTCCAGATTGTCTCTTACCTTCAGGCTTACAAAGAAGTGAGTGGCCGGTGCTCTTGTCTATCCCACCCAACCCTCTTTGCTCCCGGCCTTCTCTAAGTGGGGAGGAAGCTGTAGGACTATGCTTCACACGGTAGTTCTCCTTCGTAAAAATGCTGTGTTGTTGAAGTGCTTTATCATTTGCAGACCAAAGATCATGGCTTAGCATCCTTCAGGGGAGTAAGACAAACATAATGATCATGGAATAATGCTATGCTCAAGGAAGCATAAAGATCAACATGGAACAGATTATGGTGGAAAAATCATGGTTCTTTCGTGTGTCTGTACTAATAGATTATCTAACCAACTTTGGGAAATTCTCCTTGCTTTTCAGAGACTACTCATTCTCCTAATACGGTTTCCTTCCTTCTTACAGGCATTTGCCAATGAGAAGATATTTGGGGTGTTGAGTGAAAAACTGTACAACCTGCTTCAGCTGGTAAGTGTCATTTTTAGCTGCCCCTCCTCTGCCAATTTACCATTTATGATATCTATGATCTGTTGAAACAACCATGCAGTGTCCGATAGACTACAAAACAAAATCAGTTTGTTCCTTCTGTTTCTGCTGTAGTCAGCTCCGCTCTTTTTGGTCAGCTTCTGTTTATAGCTGGGCAGACAATTTACCATTCTGGCCTCTGAATGGTAGTTTAAACAAGTTGGAATTCATCAGCCAAATGTTTGTGGTTTGCATTTGGCTGACAATTCATGTTTTGTTTATAAGGACAGAGCTAGAGCTAACAGCAAGACTGAATTCAACATTATTATTATTATTATTATTATTATTATTATTATTATTATTATTATTGGTAGTAGTATGCAGCCTTTTCTCTCTTAAAAAGATTTAAAGTGGCAAAACATATCACAGCTTGGCTTGCTATGTGCAAGAGGGCTTTGTTGTTTTTAAGGTTAAAGAATTAGCTTGGAACAATTTGTCCAGTTGTAGAAGGGGATGAAATGTTCCTGGGTTTAAGGCTAAAGTCTGACTGAAGCCAGCCCCTCCAACCAGCTCTTTTCTGTGCACCCAGTGTTATATGGTAACCTTTCTCTTCCTTATATTTGTTACCTGCCCCAAATCCCTTCAGCGAGATTGTGGTGGGGTAGAAATAAAATTTATTATTAAATGTATTATATTATTATTATTTCTTATCTCTTGCTTCCAGGACTGGGAACAGCGCCAGGAGGAGGATAACCTGCTCATTGAGCGCATCCTGCTTTTGGTGCGCAATGTGCTCCATGTTCCAGCTGATCCTGATGAGGAGAAGGTACTTGTGGAAAGGCGAGATCCCTGATTGTGGCTGGATTGATGCCATTCTAGGGCTGTGCCAAGATCTGTGAAAGAAGAAGGACTTGGAATTTCAAACTCTTTCACCTATATTGCGTCATCCACTCTGGCAGCCAAGAAACAGCCATCTTATTTTTCCCTTTTTGCATATTGGGGGGTGGGATTTGTGCTGGCTCAGTCTTCACTAGGTTGGGCCACCCAGTTACATGCCATAATCTTGCAGCAAACCTCTGGCCTAGGAATCTTGAAGTTGTTCATTTCACTTAGAGAGTTTGGAATATAGTGGCTTTCCTGATAGGTAATCTCAAGCAGAGACAATATGATATATTCAATAACTTTCTGTTAAACCTGTTTTAAGTGGTTGATTAACAAAACAAATTAAACAGCAGTTTGCAATTTGGGGAAGGGGGTCTCCTCATCCTTTAAGAACATCACCCAGAATGAGTCTGAGGGTCCTTTTACACAGTTATACAACCCAGAATATTAAGGCAGAAAACTCACAATACCTGCTTTGAACTGGGTTATCTGAGTCCACGCTGCCATATATTCCAGTTCAGAGCAGATAATGTGGGATTTTAATCAGCTGTGTGGAAACATAGCCCCCTCCTCCTCAGACCTGCATGATTTGTCTCCCATAGAACATTGATGATGATGCCAACACTCATGACCGCGTGCTGTGGGCCATACATATCAGTGGCATGGATGACTTGCTCAAATTCTTGGCCAGCTCCCAGAGTGAGCAGCAGTGGAGCCTACACGTCTTGGAGATCATCTCCCTTATGTTCCGAGACCAGGTAAGAAAGGGAGAAAGCTGGGGCAAAGCAGGATGAGCTGGCTGCCTTAAGGAAGGGCTGGGGCTTCTGAGAATGGCTGTACTGTGACTTTTGCCAGTCTGTTGAAACAAATCCTTAGAAATCTTTATGGGACTATAAATGATGTGTTTCTAAGAAGGGATAACAAGGAGAGCTTGAATTAATTGAATTTATACTTGCAGTTTCCCCTATCGTGGGATAGGGGGGGCATGACAGTAATTTACAATAGAAATTACAAAATCTCAAAACCATTAAGCATCAATAGCAGATGCTGTATGTGGTTGTGGAGAATTCTAGAAATTTTAATCATAATTTTGAGTTGATTTATCAACTGGTCAGTGTGAATACTGGACATTGGCTTTTATAAATAAAGGGAACCATTCCCTTCTCTAAGTGAAGTGGCAAAAGGCAAGAGCTTAGCGAGAATCATATTTTGGGAGAAGCACTGACCTAATCTACCCTTTCTGCCACAATGCCACTCCTTTTTGAAAGCCTGTGCGGGAATGGCTGGCCTCCTGAGGCAGTACTGGCACTTTCCCCTCTTCACTGCATTATTCTCAACTTGTTCATAGGTCATATCAAAATCCATAATTGTGACCCTCAAACAACCAAATATATATGTTAGTTGAAAGCAATTTAAAACATAATTGTAAGTGCACAAGATAAAAACATAGCACACAACTTTTAACATTGTTCTGCTATATGATTAAAATTTAGTCAATGGCTTGCCTAAGTCAATTTGTCTTAGCCTTCTGGTGGAAAGAAAGCAGGGCAGAACTAACTAGACCTCTCATCCATACCCAGGAAGCAGCCACTGTGAAGGCTATCTCCCATTCAATTAATAGGGAGGAGGGAGGAGGCTTGTTTTCTGCTGCTCTGGAGACTAGGACACGGAACAATGGCTTCAAACTACAGGAAAGCGGATTCCACCTGAACATTAGGAAGAACTTCCTAATGGTGGGAGTTGTTCAGCAGTGGAACTCTCTGCCCCAGAGTGTTGTGGGGGCTCCTTCTTTGTAGGCTTTCAAACAGAGGCTGAATGGCCATCTGTTGGGGGTGCTTTGAATGTGATTTTCCTGCTTCTTGGTAGGGGGTTGGACTGAATGTCCCAAATGGTCTCTTCTAACTCTATGATTCTAAGTACTAATGAAAAGTACAGTTTCACTGAGATATGTGAGATATTAATATCTGATAAGTGTGACCCAATGCCCGTCTGGATATATTTGTGAAGGAATGTAAGTAGTGCTGTTAATAAAATTGTCTTGTAGAAAGCAAGCATAGGGGGAGGATCGAAAAGTAAGTGATTCATTCGTGGTTAACTACTGGAAACTGAAGCTAGTATACCTTTAAATGTTGCACACTAGAAGCAAAAGCTCAGAATGGTGCTCATTTGCTTCGCTGCCTACTGTCATAGATGTAATTCCGAGTTTGCCAAACTTTGACAAGGAATCCACTCTTAGGTTTCACATTTTGAAAAATGTTCTTCAAGACTGAATGTGCAAAGGGCGAAAGAGAGGAAAAAAAATTGTTATTATGTAGTGGGAGATTATTAGTTCTGGGATGTGTTGTTTCTGGAGAGCTGACTAAGAAAGCTTTGCCAGGGAGGAATTTACTAAATATTGTGTTTATCACAACAGAAACCAGAGCAGCTGGCAGCCACTGGGCAAGGTCGTTCGGCCAAGGAGAAGGTCACAGATATAGCTGAGTTGGAGATCCTGAGGCAGAAGGAATTGACAGAGAAGAAGAACCGCGTTCTCCAGCGGAGCAGTAGGTCAGGGAGTTGTATTATGAAGCAGGCTGTCATCTTTCTGAATTTCACAAACCACCCCATCATGCTATCAGGGGACAGAATGAGACACTTAGAAGGAGGTCTTTTCCATTACTTGTCATTTGTTGCATTCAACTGAACCTGGGACCCCAGAGATTTGTTGTGGGGAGGAATACCTCATCAAGGGTGGCTTTGGTGGGGTACATAAGTGCTGCCTGCTATTGTCCCAGCTCCCGCTTCCTTTTAGCCCACATAGTAAAATCTCAACTCCTGTGTTTAAGCCCTGTTTGAAGTTCTGCAGCTGTACTGCCTATTTGGTCTCTCAAATTTAGTATGAAGGTGGGAGTGTTTTTGGTACACTGATATCCAGCTCTTTTCTCCCTCATCCCTCTTTCTGTCTGTGCTTTCATTGGAATGGAAAACCAATGAAGATTATCAGAAATGCAGATTCTTCTGCGTGGTACTGTGAAATTCACACCTGTGGTATTTCCCTGCGTCCACGCAGCTGACTCGGATCTTTCTTGAAAGCTTTTCCTAATTAGGGACTCCAGCCCCGCCCATCTACTCCTAATAAAGCCAGGCAGCGGGGCTTGGAGCCTTAGTTTCCTTTTCTCCGTGAAAGCAGCAACAACTCGGTGTTCTCTCCTAAAACAACTATTGGT